CTTCTTCTTCTTCTTCTTCTTCTTCTTCTTCTTCTTCTTCTTCTTCTATTTCTTCTTTAAGATTTTATTTATTTTACAGAGAGAGAGAGCACAAGTAGGCGGAGAGGCAGGCAGAGAGAGAGAGGAGGAAGCAGGCTCCCCAGTGAGCAGAGAGCCCGATGCGGGGCTCAATCCCAGGACCCCAGGATCATGACCCGAGCTTAAGGCAGAGGCTTCAACCCTCTGAGCCACCCAGGCGCCCCTTTTACTTCTTTTAATAGTGAAAAATACCCATTCTCCAGATTAAGGGCAATCCTTTCATTTAGGCACAGGATCCTGTCTTCTCAGGATCCTAACTCCTTCCAAGATCCTTCTTGTATTTTATTTATTTATTTTTAAGATTTTTATTTTAGGGAGCAAGCGCAAGCGCACTGGCGCCCGGGGGCAAGAGAGGAGAGAGGGAGAGAGACACTACAGCCCAAGGGGGCTGAGTTCTGAGCCCTCTTGGGGCTGCATCTCACCGCCCTGAAACCATGAGCTGGGCAGAAACCAACAGTGCCACGCCTAAGGGACTGAACCACCAGGCGCCTCTCTCCTTCTTATATTCTAAACGCCCGCCTTCCTGTTAGAGTTATCTTGTTTGAATATAGGTGTGTTCCTATCTCCTGCTGCCATTAAAAAACAAAACAAACTTCCCCCAACCTCACTTAGCAGCAACCATTCGCACTTCTCTTCACAACTACGTTAAGAATTGCTCACATTGACTCTAATTCCTAAATTCCATTTATTTCATAGCCCACTCCCACCTGGTTTCTGCTTCTACTCTATGAAAGCAGAGCTCTTTGCAGCATTTGACACACCATATTCCTTCATCTAAACTCTAGGCTTCTCTGACATCACCACTCTGTGAGTGTTGAGGTAAGTGACACAGGTGACCTAAAAAGAGGAAAACGAATGTGAAACAAAGTAGGGCATGCGAATGGCCAAGGAGGGAAGGGTGAGTAGCGACTGTTACTTTTTGAGAGGGGCCTCGTGAGACCGGAGACAGAAAGAGCCACATCAAGTATTAACACCAAGTGACCGTGACTTTTACCCTGGCTTTCACCTTCTTTCTTCCCCTATCCTTTGAGCGCCTGCGGGTAGTCAAGAAAGCGAGAGGGTTTGGGCCCGTGCCAGGCGGTGGGGGCCGGTTCCGTAGCTTCGAGAACGGAGGGCTCTACCGGTCCTGCGGACCCGGCCGGGATAGCGGAGGATGAGGCTCCGCTGTCGCCGGCGGAACTTGTGAGCGGAGCCGTTGTTGCAGCTCCGCCGGAGGCTGCAAGGCAGCGGACACGGGCGCGCATGCGTGGCAGCGCTTCCGGCCCTGGTCCCAGCGCGAGGTTTGCTGAAGTGCGGGGACGCTGCTGGAGTAATCGTCGGTCGACTCCGGGGTGGGCCGCGGCCGCTGCGGGTCTCTGAGAAGCCCGAGACCAGCGCGGTATACCCTGGAGGCGGGTCGGAGGCTGGCCCGAGACTCCACCCGCCGCTGGAGCTGGAAGGAAAGCAGGAAGAGCTGGGCTAGGTGTGCCCTTCGCTCCCTGCCTCCCCAGGCCGGCCCCAGCCAGTGGTGCTAGAAAAGGGGAGGGGTGGGGTGGGGTGGGGGTAGGTAGGGGTGGGGTCGGGGAGCAATGGGGGGAGATGCAGGTTAAATGGGTTTCTCTGCAGATTCAGTGTTGTTAAATCCTGCGAATTCACACTTTCTTAAAAAAAATGAAGAAATTAAGGCTTAAGGAACTAGAAAGTCGCCTGCAACAAGTGGATGGATTCGAAAAGCCCAAGCTACTTCTAGAACAGTATCCAACCAGGCCGCATATTGCAGGTAGGGCGGCTGGTGACCATGTCTTTGCTTCCCGGGTTAGTCCTATCTGCTTACTCCATAATGAAAATAGAACAGTTATTTGAATACAAAGAACATCTAGAGGAATTCTGCCCTGAGATTACATATCACGTTAGAGAGGACTACCTTGACATGCAGCTAAACCCAGCAACAACCCCCCTCCCCTCGCCAAAAACCATTTTATTGTTTCACTGCTTGGTTTTCTGCATACCTCTTAATACTGTAAGACATCTCTTTAATGTGTTTGTTTCTATACACTATAAACTCCGTGAGGGTAAAGAACTTGTCAGTCATGTTCACACAATTCTGTGTCTAGAAGAGTTCCTGCTACTAGTTCGGAGCTCAGTACACGTTTGCAAAGTAAGGATCAATTTTCTATTGCAACGAATTGCAAATGCAAGGATTCCTGTGTTATACTTGCCCTAGAATGAGTACTAGAGTTGGTAGCCAAAGGACTGTGTTTAACAAATCCAGAATAGGTGCTATAAAATGAGGATGTGTTTCGGTTTTTAATGATCCGAGAGTCATCAGTGTTGCTTGATCCAAGAGATTGATACTGGGAGTACAGCAGACAACAAAGGAAAAACCATATTTAATAAACATATTGTCAAATTCATTGAGGAGTCTTGGTAAAATTAATTTGGGAATCCCTCCCAGCTTCAACATTAGTTCTGTTTTTAAGCAGCCAATGAAAGTATACACCTGCACTTACCACCAACATATTGTCATAATTCCAACCAAAAACTGGCACAAAACTGTCTGGGTTAAGACCTGTTTTCTCAATTTAGATGATTTCTTTAGTGTATTCTAACTGTAGGGTTTCTTAGTGAAGTCTAATGTTTTAAAAAATCCTTTGTTCATACCCAGGGTATAATATGCATGTGGACGTGTTAATTCTTTTGAGATACCAGCTTCAAAGTCACTAACACTTGCAGCAGTAATTGGGATAGCAGTTAGACTGAGATATCCCTCTGTGTGAATTTTTTTTTTTAAGATTTTATTTTTAAGTAATCTCTACACCCAATGTGGGGCCTGAACTCATAACTTGAGATGGAGAGTTGCATGCTTCACCAGCTGAGCCAGCAAGCACCCCAATTGTGTTTTTGATAAAACCTCTAGTGCTAAGGCATCATGTTGGGCAGTGGTTCTTGCTGGTTCACATATCCACAGGGAGAGATCAGTGGTTTTATTCATGCTTAACCTTTAGTATATATCCCAGACCTTTGTGTATTTGGAAGAACCCTTTCTGATCTCAGCAGCTACTGCTCTACTCCTCATTCTCATTAGTTTATGAATATATGTGTCTAAAGGCTGTATTGTGGATATAGGACTTTTCCCATTCTAGCTTGCACTTAGGGTACCTGTGTTCTGGTGACAAACTGGTCAAAAAGTTCTGGACCGTTTTAATGTTAATGCTTATTCAGTATTAGTGACTTCCAGACTTAACAGATTTCAAACAGTTTTGGGAGACTGATATAGGGTTGCCAAGTTTATATTTTGACAAGGAAAGATATTTTTAAAACCTGTTTACTCTCACCATCCTTGGGAAAATATTTCAACATCAAAGAAAGAACTGATGTATGTGTGGGGGGGGCAGGGGGCAATGTTTTGGACAGGCTGAGGAAAAAACATTCTAGCCTTATTTTTCTCATTTTATTTCAGAATTTTGTCATTCTTCGCATTGTCACCAGAGTAGTTTTTGGGAACCACTGGTGTGTGTTATTGTTCTTGTGGTGCCTCTTACTACATAACAAGATATTATACCTCATTTAAAAAAAAAATAAATCGGAACACCATTTCGGGGAGGAATAATGCAAGACAAGAAATTGCATTAGTCATTTACATGAATTGGATTTTGGTCATCAACTTACTCTTATTCCCTAATATGTTTTTTGATCTTTTAGCATGTATGCTCTATACAATCCATAATACATATGATGACATTGAAAATAAAGTGGTTGCAGATCTAGGATGTGGTTGTGGCGTTCTTAGCATCGGAACTGCAATGTTAGGAGCGGGGTAGGTGATCCTCTATGTAATGTTTGGGTATAGGGTGGTCTGAATAAGAAACATAAATAGGATTAACTGAATTAGATTTATGGGACTCTACAGTATGAGATGAGGGGAGCAAGAATATGATACTGAGTACATTTTGAGTGAGCAGAACGGTAAAACAAAAAACAATATGGTTTGATTTCGTTATTGTTTTGTTTTGGGAGCTATAAATAGTCATTCTTTATGTGTGCTTTGTATTTATAGGTTGTGTGTTGGATTTGACATAGATGAAGATGCGTTGGAAATATTTAATAGGAATGTGGAGGAGTTTGAGTTAACAAATGTTGACATGGTTCAATGTGATGTGTGCTCATTATCTAACAGAATGTCCAAGTCATTTGATACAGTAATTATGAATCCTCCTTTTGGGACCAAAAATAATAAAGGTTAGTAAAAAGACTCAAGTGTACTGATACATGTATAGAAAAGCAAGTTTTAGAGTCATTTTCTTATTGTTTGGGTTAAATGATATTGTCACTGTTCATTAAATAAACCATCTCTTACCTGTGTAATTACAATAATTTCAGTTTGTTTAATGTATGTCAAGGAAATTGAATTTTTCAATCTTTGTTTTTCTACTCTTAACAAGGACAGTTGAATAAATAGCTTTTTTTTTTATTAATTTACTATTTATACTTTGCTTTCAAGAATGATTTACCTAACCCTTATAATTCTGTAAAGGGTTTTATACTTTTAGAACCTCATTTTAATGCCTTAACACACCAAGAGTTTCAACATATGATCATGAGTAACAGTGACTGACTGTGGCTATTTATCCTGTGTATGCTGTAGGCAAGGAGGATAGAAAGCCTGTGAGAAGAAAAGACGTGAAGTTTACTTTTTTAAGATTTTATTTATTTGAGAGGGGGCGGGGGAGGGGCAGAGGAAGAGACAGACTCCCTGCTGAGCAGGGAGCTGGCCTCCCGCTCAAGCCCTAAGACCCAGGGATCAGGAACTGAGCCAAAGGCAGACGCTTAACTAAGCCACACAGGCACCAACCAAGAAGCCATGAATAAAGAGTTCTCCCTCCAGCCCCTGCCTGATTCTGATTGTTGCTGTACCTGTTTTCTCTTCTCCCTTGAATTGTTAATTTGGAACATTAAAATTTTTACTTTAGTCTTATTTAAAGAAGATAGTATAATTCTGGTTTTATTTTATCAGCCTTAGATATATTTTACTTTTAAAAAAAAATTATTTATTTGAGATAGATCATGAGCTGGGGGAGGGAGGGCAGGGCAGAGGCAGAGGGAGAGGGAGAAGCAGGTTCCCGGCTGAGCCGGGAGCCCAATTCAATGACCTGAGCCCAAGGCAGATGCTTAACTGATTGAGCCAACCAGGCACTCCTATATTTTACTTTGTTGTATCTTGTCTTTTTGCAGAAGAATCTGAAGTGTCTATTTTGGAATTTGGGAAAAAAGTTTTTAAATATCTGGTATTCTTTTAATCTTTGTTTTGGTAACAGGTATATAAAGTAAATGAGTTTTTTCTACTCCTAACAGGGACAGATATGGCATTTCTGAAGACTGCTTTGGAAATGGCAAGAACAGCAGTATACTCTTTACACAAATCCTCCACTAGAGATGTAAGTTCAAATCATCATGATGTTGCTACTTCAAAATTCATGACAGTGTTTTAAGGGTTTGCTGTGAATACTAATTACCTGGGTATCTCTTTCCCCTGAACTTTTTAAACATCATGGCACTTAGAAACAATTTTCCCTTTAACTAGCTAGCATTTGTGATTTGTTTTCTTCCAGTCTATGTAACTTCTTTTGCCAAAGATTTGCTCAGGCAGGAACCGTTACCAGGAGAGACTATAGTTCAGTAGAGAAGTATGGTATAGCTAAGATTACAATATGTCCTAGTTTGCCTAATTCCTGTTAGTCCCATTGTCCCTTTGTGGCTTTGTGTGCATTAAGGGAAGCAGTAAGACCTAATTTTAAGAACTGAAGCTAAACTGATCTGAGTTCAGACCCTCCCTTTTCCATTATTCTTGCCAGCAATATAACATATGGGGGTATAGAAGATTTATTCCAGAAAATTGGGTATATTTTTTGTCAACACAACAGTGATTAAGGACACAAGACTATAGGGCCAGACTGCTTAGATTGAAATCCGACTACCACTTCCCTGTGTTATCTTGGTCAAGGTATTTGTACTCAGCTTCATCACCTATACTGTACTCATCTATACTCTTGTAATTGGTAATGGTTTGGTTTCTTATTTTCAAAATACTACCAATCCAGCTGAACCGTTTGTAAGAGTCTAAATTCTAATGATTTTTTAAAAGCTTAAAAATTTAGTATGAATATTAGCAAAAAAGTAATTCTCAATTATTTTAAAAATCAGTTCACATTAACATGTTGTTATCTTCAGCATATTCAAAAGAAAGCTACAGAATGGAAAATCAAGATAGATATTATTGCAGGTAAGACAGTTTTTAAGTTTCTCACAAAATACATCTAAACCCTAATAATAAGGTCAATAATTCATTAGCCCAACCAGAGTTTTAGGTGCCAAGAAAAGGTGCTGTAGAACATGTTTTAGGGGGCACCTGGGTGACTCAGTCAGTTAAGCAGCTGCCTTTGGCTCAGGTCATGATCCCAGGGTCTTAGAATCCAGCCTCATGTGGGGCTCCCTGCTCAGGGGGAATCTGCTCCCTCTCCCCCCAGCTTGTGTGCTCACTCTCTCTCAAATAAAATCTTAAAAAACAAAACACATTTTCAGTTTGACAAAATGTGAGCGGTTGGTAATGGGTTGGAAATGAAGTAAAGAGAGGGTATCAGTGTTTGCCTAAGACTGTCCCAATTTATGCATTTTGCTGAAAATTCCTAATAGTGCCTATTTGGTCACTCCAGACGTAGACAGAACAGTTATTTAGCATCATAGTGATAAAAGAGCTTGGGCTTGGAGTGGGTCAGACCTGTTTGGAATCCACTCATGGAAAATACCAACAGATCACGCCTGATTGCCTTTCCATTTCAATTTTCTTTGTCCCTGGAGTCAGAGAACATGAAGCTTTTTTCTTTTAGTGGGGGATAGGGTATAATCATCCACACTGTAAGTAAATGTTTAATACATTTTTATTAGCAAATTGGGTAATATTCACAAATGCCAGAATGGGATAAACATATAACTAGAAACTAATCAAAATCCAAATAATTCTGAAGGCTGAAATAAGTACAATAAGGGGGAAAATATTCTTTACTTGATAATAAACTAGGAATACCACTATGGTAGTAACCATTTAACTAGTCCTATTCATAATTAGTAATGTAATGTGGAAAAGTCTGTCAGTCCTCCTATTTACCCAGTATTGTCATTCCTAACCTAGTTTAAGGTATAATATGCAACTTGGAACACCTTAGAACAACTCCAAATATACCAAGCCAGTACCTTGCTATTCCAAATGTGGTCCTCAGACCAACGTTATTCACATCCCTTGGGAGCTGAGACTTGCCTTTTAGCTCCAGCCAGACTTACTGAATTATAATACACATTTTAAGATTTATTGAAGGTTATTTGATTACACATGAAAATTTGAGAGCTGTAACCTACGGAGAATTTGTGTTGCAAAATATGAAGGTCAGGCAGTCTACTGCCATCCCTCTAAAACTGATGAGTAAATTTGGAGAACCTGCATTAATTCTTAGCATAAGAAAAGTGTATTTTCACTTGACAGCTTAACAGAAAAATAATTAGCTACTTACTACCAATATTAAAATCTGGACAAGAAATTTTCAAAATAAGCATGATTGTTATGATTGCTAGCTATAGATTATTAGGAAATTAGAAAGATACCATCATCTTCTGTCCAGTTTTTATCCTTTCAAATCCTTCCCCATAACCTCAAATTTTGGCATAAATGACCAAAATAGCAGAAATGCCAACCTTAGTTAGCCATGGCTAATCTTGGGAAAGTATCAGGTCTCAGTCTTTGGATAAGTTAAAGTGACAGGTCTGAAGTGTTCTGCTTACCAGGGTTAAGTACTTCCTTAATTTTGTTTTAATTTACATATGTCTGTATGTATGTCAGGGACAGCAAGTGAAATTTTATTCTTAGGTGGCTTTTGTTTTATAGAGCTGCGATATGACCTGCCAGCATCATACAAATTTCATAAAAAGAAATCAGTAAGTTTCTTGATTCCGGCTTATCTACATTCAGTACTGAAGAACTTTTCAATAAGTAATTATTTCCAATGTTATCAAGTTGCCTGAGTAAATAAAGGAAGCTAGCACAGGAGACAGAATAATTATCGATGGGATAACAGCCAATATTCTGGTTTAAGGTATTCTTTCTCAAATGCTTTAGGCACAAAAATAAAAAACTAATTTTTTGCTCTTTTTTATATAGTACATATTTTATTAGTTTGTACTAATACATTTTCATATTACAAAGGCAATTTAGTGGAAGTCTTGATATCTGAATCATTTGAAATAACACAAACAACTATACATTAAAAAAAAAATCTTCATTTGGATAACAAAAAGACAAGTTAAAAACAAAAAATTTTCCTTTCTTACAGGTTGATATTGAAGTGGATCTAATTCGGTTTTCTTTTTAAAAGCCTCTAAAGACAAAAGCAGCTTAAAACCTAATTAAGATGAATAAAAAAATTTTTTACTAAACTACTGGTCTCCAGCACCATTTTCTGTTTTCTGTTGTTTTGGTGTAGGTTCTTCTTTGTCTGTTTCTTCTCTTGCTCTTTTTACTGGTCCTATACAATAACAGAATTTTTGTCAAGTTCACTATATAAGCATTACTCTTTTAATTTTGAGCATAAGAACAAAAATAATTCTGTTTAAAAAACAACTTTAAAAAAAAAAAAAAGCAACAACTTCCTGGGGCGCCTGGGTGGCTCAGTTGCGTTAAACTGTCTGCCTTAGGCTCAGGTCATGAGCCTAGGCTCCCTGCTCAGTGGGGAATCTGCTGCTGCCCATCCCCCCACTCATGCTCCCTCTCTTTTTCTAAAAAAAAATTTTTTTTTTTATTAAAAAGCAACAATTTCCCAACTCCAATGAGAAGGATTTTCTTAGTACAGATCTTCTGCTTTCTAAACTTAACCTTCCAAATATCTTTTTGTTTCCCACTTGTAAAACAGGATAACTTGTGTAAATCATAGTCCAAGAATATCACTTACACAAAAGGTGAAAAACCATACTGCTGTTCTTTCCCATATAATTTCTCATGAAAGTAACCAAAGGACTTAGAAAAACTTACCAGATGCACCATTTTGATCATGTTCATCATCACTATCAAATTTAGTTTTCTTGCCCTGAAACTGTACTTTTCCTTTAGCAGACCCAGTCTGGGCAGCTTTATTTCCCTTTCCTTTTCCTTTAAATCTGCGACCTATAGAAACATAATTGAGAAATCCATAAGAAATGTCTTAAATCTTTTGTCACTGCCTCTGAACAAGCAAATGAGTTAAAATAACCAATGGTCAAAGACAAATCAGAAATAATGACCTTTTGATTTCCATTTGTTTAGAGACTCTTGTTGATCTTCTATGATTTTTTTCAGTGCTTCCTTTTCCACATCTCCTTCTAGTACTTCCCACGTCACTTCTTTGTTCCTTAATTGTAGGTTACCATTATTTGCATCTTTGGCTTTATCCAGTGCTTCCTTAGCTTTTTCTTTAAAAAGAATTATCCCCTATACCAAAGACAGACAATAAAAGCCACACCCTTCAGGTTTTTTTTAGTTCCATAGTTAATTCCTTCACTCAAAAACTTCCTACCCTGCAAATCTTCTCTGCCATTATCAATGTCAATGAATTATAATTGAACTTCAGGAAGCTACCACAAAACTTGCAGTCACAAATACCAACAGTTATTCATAGCATAACTCAGAAAATATCAGACATTTACATCCAGTGATGGCAATAACAAAATGGAAAGTAAATGACCAAGTAGAAACTATTTCATAAACACATTAATAAAAAAAAAATTGCTTTGTTTCTACTAATGTCTTCTAAAGTTAAGTTTCTTTGGAGTTTTAAACATTGCTAAAAAGCATATGAATGTCTCCAAACCTCTTTTGCTCCTCTCACAAAGTCTATCCATTTTATTTCACCATGACTTGAGAAAAGGATGTGCAAATCTTCTCTACAGGTCTGATCATCTAAGTCTCCTGAAAATTTCAGCAAGCAGCCAATCTTTTCTTCTAGAGATTTCTATAAAAACATACAAAGCAAGAAAAAAAAGTTTCTTAAAAACAACCACAAAGAAACAGAAATGGCTTACACCACTCTATACCTAATACATGCAAAAAGCTAGAATCTAAAATGCCATTTTAAAGTAGTTTAAAAGTTAGTGCATTTCCCCTTGTCATCCATCCCTTGTTCTACGATGGCTTCTGATTTTAACCTTCTTAATTTCTTCAACAAGTAGTATTTACTTAAGCTATATGTATTAGTTATTATGTACATCTCGTTACTAAGTTATTTCTCTGGATAGGTAATGAGTTTGGGCAATACTATCGGGCTATGACTTTAGTGCAATGACAACTACAGACCTGCTCACATATTTGCTTCAAAAAGTCCTGCTTTTTGGGGCGCCTGGGGGCTCAGTGGGTTAAGCCTCTGCCTTCGGCTCAGGTCATGATCTCAGGGTCCTGGGATCGAGTCCCGCATCAGGCTCTCTGCTCAGCAGAGAACCTGCTTCCTCCTCTATCTCTCTCTCTGCCTGCCTCTCTGCCTACTTCTGATCTCTCTCTGTGAAATAAATAAAATCTAAAAAAAAAAAAAGTCCTGCTTTTTATTCTCATAAATTTGAAACATAGCTTTAGATACCAATAATATATACTTACCATTTCAGCATTTTCTGCTAACTTTTGTTTTTCTTCTTGCTCTCTACAAAAGAAATGTTAATTAGAATGTTTCCATTTACTGTATGAGAAAATTAAATCCTGTTAACATTGATCATGAGCACACACTGCTCAATAACCAAAGTCAGTCGTTAGGTTTTCTGATTCTCATGGGTAGAGTGCAACACAATGTGCCCCCAGATTATCAAGGCAGCTTAAGATCTTAATGTTTCACTACCAAAAGAAAAGCCTGCTACTCATTTCAGAACACGCGCGTCATCAAGCTCCACTTCCGAGAACCACTAACTCTATCCCTGTTAAAACTTGAAGGAATTAAATGATTGGCTCAACATACTTACTGTTTAGCTCGTAATTTAGCTTCCACTTTATTTTGCTTTCTTTCTTCATTTTTTTTTGCAAAATAATCTTCCCTAAAGAACACAAAATACAGGAGCTGAGTTCACAAGAACAAAAATAAGACTGCAAAATACTCTGAATGATTTAAGCACAGGAAGGAATATTACACTTTCTACCTAAAAATTCAAAAGATGCCAAGGAAGTTATTTAGTAACAGCTTTACTAAAAAACATTTCACATTTCATAAAATACACACCTCTTAAAAGCGTACGTGTACACCTCAATGGTATTTAATATATTCAGAATGGCACAACCATCACTACTATCTAATTTTGGAACAAAAAGAAACTTGATGTCTATACCAATCTCATTGATTTTTACCATTCATGTATAGGAAAAAAAAGTAAACCAGGATTTATATAAATAACTTCGCATAGAATTTTCTAGTGTTACTTTCACAAAAGGAAAAAATTCTACAATCTCTAAAACCCAAGAATAAAAGCAATTATGAAAACCACATTAAAAAATACTTTCGAGGGTTAACGTTAATTACATGATTCATCACGGTACATCTATAAGTCCATCAGGTTTAGTAAATGACACTTAGAAGATTACATAATGTGAAAGTAGGGGACAATGGCCTAACTTTATCATAAAAATGCTCTGGTTTGTTCTAACTTTTGACACACACATATTAAAGAATGTGGTCCAAATCTGTATTAAGTAATCCTTTCTACTAAATGAATACAGGTATATATAAACTATGAGAAATAAGAACAGACTGTACATTGGACAGGGATTGATTCTCTAACGACACAGAAGCCCAAATTTTACTATCTAGCTTGATTATATGTATTAGATGCAAAACAAAACAAAAATAACAAAAACCAAAATTTAACCTTTATTAACTATTAACAGTGAAAAGGTATTAAAAAAAAACACTTCCTTGGGGCACCTGGGTGGCCCAGTTGTTAAGAGTCTGCCTTCAGCTCAAGTCATGACCCCAAGGGTCCTGGGATCGAACCCTGCATGAAGGCTCCCTGCTCAGCGGAATGCCTGCTTCCCCCTCTCCCACTCTCCGTATTTGTATTCCCTCTTAGTGTCTCTCTCTGTCAAATAAATAAATAAAATCTTTAAAAACAAATCAAAACCAAAAAACCCACTTCCTTAAGGTCTCAAAGAACTAGGAGTTTCCATTGGGCAAATTTCAAATGTTTATCAAAGAATGCCCAAGGATACTAAAAGTACTGTCCTTACAGGGGTTGCTATTCCATATTCTGTATCCCAGTGTGTCAATTCCATATAACTAAGTGGCCAAAAGAAACATCGGCATAAAGACTTACTTGAAAAGTATTAGCAGGTCTGTGTCTTTATACTTCTGGCCAGGGGTATCAACAAACTTCTTAGCAGATTCAATACTATCAAACACAGCAAAAATTGATCCCTATTAAAAGGGGGAAAAAAACTCTTTTAAAAAAACGTCCCACATATTTTTCAACTAGAAAAAGTTGTAACATCATACAGAAAATTCTAACATCCTACGACCATACCTTAAATGCTTTGTGTAATGTTCTTCTCATCTGAATATTTAGTACTTGACCTTTATCTTCTAACCATTCTTTTATATCATCAAGGGTTGCATCAGTTGGGAACCCTTTCTGTGAAGAGTAGAAAGAAATGTACAAATGCCCTCTCAGATAATTTTATCAGAAATTCCAATTCATTTTGTCTTGAAACCAAACCAGGATATATGCATCTATCTATATCTATCTCTCTCTGTCTCTTAAATGTTTAGTGCAATTAAAGTGACTTACTTGGAATTTGCTTCAAAGTAATCCACTTTGGTCAGTTAGACATCTATCTTTGGCTCAGGTCATGATCCTTGGGGTCCAGGGAATCTCTCCCTCTGCCCCTCCCCCTGCTTCTCTCTCTCTCATTCTTTCTCATCACTCTCTCTCTCAAATAAATAAATAAAATCTTCAAAATAATCCACTTGGGGCGGAGATAAAACTAGATCAATCATGTGTTAGCTGCTAAGGTTGGATAATGGTACATTATATAGTCAGTCTACCTTTACATGCTTTAAATTTTCCTGAATAAAAAAATCTACTTAAAAAATTCATATGCTAAAGAAAATTACTATCAAGTTTAGCCATTGACAAATAAAAAGCTGATAGGCATTGGGTGCTTAAAATATGCCCAAGATTTTGTATAATGTTATATGGATTTTTCATTAATTCTCACAAAAGTTCTAGAAAGTAATCCCCATTTATGAAGATTAGACAGCTTAAGAGCACTGCCCAAGAACACACAGTAAGTGGTAAAGCTCTGATTCCTGAGTCCTTATTCTTATCCATTCTGTTTCTTTCTAAGTAAGATACTCAAGATATAATTAAACATGTTAAAGGCCCACTTACAATATAAACAGATCTGTTTTTTACATCATTCTTATATTCATCAGTCACTTCAGGGAGGGG